TTACTACTCTCTCTCTCTCTCTCTCTCTCTCTCTCTCTCTCTCTCTCTGTTCCTTCACATGTAGCACGCCGCCCCGTGACAAAGTCACGGTACGTAGGCACTAGGGGTATTAACGACGTTGCACCGACGGATAAATTGCAACGTCACGCGACACGAATATTTCATACTTCATCATTCTTTCTCTCCCAATTTTCTTTTGTTCCTTTAATTTTATCGTAAGCCAACAGTGCATTAACCCGGTAACCAGCGCGCCCGCTGTTTAACACAGTGTTAACGTAGTTCACGAAGAAAGTAAGACACTTGTGGCGTAAAGTCCGTTTCTCCGAGTTTTTACCCGGGGAAAATGCAAACTTCAAATAGGACACGTCACTCAGAGAACTCGCAGCGGAAAGGATATGAAGAAAATATTAATTATATGCACATCATTTACGGAGTAATGAATGCGCTTAATCATCTACATCGCGAAAATTTAGCTTCATTAATTTGATTGCAACGTTTCATTATCGTTGCGAAATATATTATTTCAACGTTCCCTCGCGCGCAAAATTTTGTTACGCTCCGCGATACGAAAATCGGTTACGGCGTAAATTAATCGCGTTATTGAATAATGCATTCTATTGTTCTTCTCCGCCTCCTGTGCGAAGAACCTCGGCGTTCTTCGACGGGGGTTAAACCTCGGCTTGCATTACACGCGTCGTAGTGTCACGCGACTCAAATATTTCGAGCCCGTTCCTCTTTCCTTCATTTATCTCTGTCTTCCTTCCACGCGCGCACCGTCACACCCCGGCCGTCTCCTTTTCGCGCCTGTGCGCCGCTGCGCCCGACCCCGTCCTCGTTATCTTCACACTTCACTTGAATTTCTCGTATCAGGATCATCGTCGTCCGCGCCCTATCTCTGCGTACAAGATAACCGGCCGCGCTGAAGTTTGCTGTACCGGAAATTCCGAGTAAGTTTCGAGCGCGCGCGACTCCCGTTGCTCCGTTATCGAGGAAATATTTTAGCTTTTAATAATGCCGCGAGTCACCGGTGACGTTCATCGTCCGTATTTTGTTTGTAATACACTTGACAGATCTGACGAATATTTACAGGACAGCGCAGTTTTGCAAAATAATCGTTCTCTTGACAGTCGCTCGACGAACCATTCGAGATGAATAAATAACATTTTTGCCAAAAATATTTACTGCTCTAAAGATGTTAAAAAATAATAAAATATTCAATATAAAGCTATCCTTTTAAAGTTTTTTTGATAAAAAGAAATTAACAGGGGACGTCAGATTTACACAACTCTGCGTCTGTCTGCGACCTATTTCGCGCGCGATATATTTGTCGAAAGAGACAGAACGGAATTGAAATACTCGCGTACAGCGTTTCGCGTGTATATACTCGCGCGCACAAATTGTGGCACCCTGTCGCGTTATTCGCGAGACGAAAACCGCTGATCACGGTATAGAGTTTCCGCGAATCACAATTTCACGCCGCCGCCGACACGGCGCAGCGGTATGTACACGCGCGCACCCGCCATGTGAGGGCAATATTCCGATCGAACATGATAATAAAAAGCAACGGAATCCGGAATAGTTCGGGGGCTCTCGGATGCTATCGACCAATCCCCCTTTTTGCCTCCCCCTCCACCCCCGCTGCCTGCCTTGTCGTTTGTTGCGATCCACTCACGTTTTCCCCGGGATAGGACAAGGAATGCGTTTTGCCATACTTTTTGTTTTTTTTCTTTCTTTCTTTCTTTTTTCTTTTTTTATTTCTTTTTCTCTCCAAGCGCACTGACACCGGCATCCACCAGTGGGCGGAATAGGGAAACTAAAGGGAAGCATCGCGGAAAAAAGCGATGGAAAAAGAAGGAATGTATAAAGGATGGATGCACATTTTTGCGAAGAAGCATTTACGCGGCCGCGCACTTTGGAATGCGATTCGCGCCATACGCGAAATAACAATTTCACCGCTTAAGCTACCCGGCAGGTGTCGGCGGGAGTGATATGCTTTCGCCGAGCCTGGATTATTCGGTCATTCGCTCTTCCACGTCGAGAAAATTGCTGCACTCATATTGACTTAAGAAAATAGGAGGAATACATTTACACGCATTTGTTGCAAATTTTCTCTCGCCATTATCGAATAAAGGTACTCGTTACAATTTTTACTTGTGTTACTGCACGAAGAATTTCTCGCGATTATTTGCAGAATTGATTTGATTACTGTCTACATTTTAATTTGTATTTTAATTACACTTTAATTATAAAATATATTCAAAGTTTTAACTTTTCATAGAATTCTCAACAATTTGCGGAATTTTTAATAAGTACATAAAATATGCGAGACACACTATATTGTGCAAGTTATATGTGCCGCTACATGTAGTAATATTTTACATAAATCTGTAATTTTTCCGAAGAATGCATATTCCAAGCTAGATAACAGTGTTCAGAATCTCAGCTATTTTTTTTTTCATCATAATTCTTTTACCGTTTTCGGTAATGGCGTCAACAAGTTGGCAGTGTCGCAATAAAAAAATCTCCGTAAGGAAGATTTCGGATGACTTGTTTCGCGTCGTACGCGAAATAACAATTCTGCCGGTGTGCCGACGAAACTTATGTTCTTACCGTCCCTCCGTCTGGATTTCTCACCTTCACCGCCCTTTACTGTGTCTCTTCGTCACTCTCTCCCTTTTGCTCTTTATTTGCTTCCGGAGAACCGGCTAAATCACGCTCGGTCTCCTCCCCATCGTAGGAGAGAAGGGATGACTGGATTTATAGTTCACACGGCTCTGCGACGGTCCAGAAATCGTGCACGACGTGAATAATTTCGGGTGAACGTGTTTCTACGTACGTGCGCGGGGCGGGCGTATATTTCTCCGGGGGGTATGCGCGATTTTTGAGTCGTTCCACGCGAACTGCATGGATTTCCTATGCAAAACCGCGGGTAGGATGATAAAAACGCGCGACACGGCGCGCGGTTTTGTTTAACCTCTGAAATCTTACGTCAATCCCATATCTCATGATTTGACTTTTAACGAGGCGTGCCCGTAATACTATTCGCGCGCGGTTTTTATGATTTTCCTAGAAATATTCTCAGAAAAATTGCCGTTACCAGGACTCCCCTCTTCCTCACGTATGGACGAAAGTGGGATGTGCCGGAGGAAAAACGAAAAGGAGATATTCCTCTCGTCGGATTATAAAATCACGAGGTATGAAATTCAGGAAATGTCCGAAATACGTGACTCGCCGCGGTATTATATTACTCCGAATTTCCGCTCTGCCACTGTTGGAGCCGGGACCATAAAGTTGTCTAAATACTAGATCACATTTCTCATCGAGTTCACTAAGAGCCTTCGAGCCGCCCTTAATAACGTCGACGGAGCGCGGAAGCTTTTGAAATTTTATCGACCTCCAGGATACCGAGTTATAAATCACGAGTTTTTATTCCAGTCGACCGACGAGGACGCCGACAACGAAGACGACTTCTACGAGCAGGAAGACGAGGGGCGGGAGGGCGGGAGGGAAGGGGGCGGGATAAAGATGTTCACGTTGAAACTGCAGCGACCACAGAATTCTTGCATGCACCGAAATCAGGACTGCTGACCGAGCTTTCGTAACTGAATGCACCTGTGCTGTTATACGCAGGCATATATGCGCACACACGAAGTGTATTTTCACGGAGGAAAAAGCGCACGCCGTACATTCGGTCGCGAACACGTGCGTCGGATCGAACAAAATACGAGTAGACCTCATTTTCAATTTGTTTCCGTCTATTTGAAAAATGGAGAACGCGATCCGCAGTCGGCGCAGTTCTGGCTTTTCCAGGCGCTGCTGGCAAACCTGCGCCAGCGGGGGGAAAAAAAAATATCGCGCGCAGCGGGAAGCCAGGTTTTTTGCCCTTTTTATATTCTATTTCAGAATTCGCCGTGAAAGGCGGGAAACGAATCTCATTGCCGAAGTGTATATGTAATTTATAGTTGTATTAATTCAATTATTATTTTCCAGGCGCAGAGGCGCGATCCGTATCATTGCCTGTAATTTTATACTGTTATTAAAATAAAACAGCGTCAACAGTTTTATAATGACATTTCGGGCAAAATATTCATCGCATTTAATTCATTCGACCAGGAATTATTTATCATTTTAATATGAAATATAAATAAACCAAATCGAGAAAATGTGACAGCGAGCACAGCAATTAGAAATGTCTGGCACATTGTTGACGATTGTTTTTTTTTTTTAAATACGTACATATATTTTTCGAATGTATCGCTAATGGTGCGGGGACCGCCACTAATGTGTGAAAAAATTTACTAATAACAAACAGGTACGAAATCTCGGCGAGGGTGGTAACACTTGCCTGGACTCGCCCGCCCGCAAGGCTGACTTGCACAAACCGTGCGGACTGTATCCCTGCCACCGACAGGGTGGAAATCAGGTACAATAGTCACCGTGCTCGAAGAAATTCCTTGATCACAAACACACTGTCCCGCCTGAAACGCCTGTCCGTGCTTGAGTGAAATTGTGTATGCGCACAAAGTTTGAAACGGAAACGCGATTTTTGCTCAATTTTTGTTTGGCTTTTCAAAGTTTTCTTTATCGGCGCTTAAAAATACAATTTTGTTTCTATATTTTGAAATATTATCGTATGCTTGTAGGCTGCAAAGTAGCACGCTTTATATATATATATATATATATATATATATATATATATATATATCGCAGTATCAAAATTGATAATATACGCGAGAAGAATGGAAATACACGAAATTAACTTCAACTCGCGAAGAAATAATTTAGCCAAGAATTGGAGGCAATAACGAACTGTACATTTGTGATATTGCGGCAATGACCACCAATATCAATCCGCTGCAGATTATATGAGGCCGATCGTTCCGGCTCGCAGCCGCAGAACGACAGGCTCTTATTAGCAGCTGCATAGGCCACCGATATTTAGCTTAATTATTATCGTATAATCCGGCGTGAGTAAACAATGCGCACGGATCGTTCGTTCCGAAATGTGCGTCCCATAATTCCGGCGCTGAGCTAATCGGAGCTACATACCAAATTACTAGAAAATCGAGTTTCCGTCTCATCGGCGATATCGATCCGTTATATCGTTTCCCTCCAATGACGGCGGTGCGCCTAATCGCACGCGCCGTACGTTTATGTGCCATGTGTGTTCGCGCTTCCAGCTGCTTGGATCTCTCAAATACAAACGGCTCGTCCACAGGCGAAATCCGTGCGGCCGCGCACGGAATATCGAGTCGATGATAGCGGAGATATTCTTTAAACCTGCCAGTAATCGTGTGAATTTCTGTTGAATTCCGACGCAGATAAGGCAAATCGCTAGCGGGATGTGTATAGACTCACCGGGGAAATCCGAGGATCTGCATCAGCCGGTGGGGCTGTACCCCTGTCACCGTCAAGGCGGCAATCAGGTACACGAAAGAAAGCCGCGACAACATAAGCCGCGGGCGCAAAATAAAACAGCGCCAAGTCTGCCGAGTCTCTCTCGGGGCTTTCCTAATCGGTTCGCAGGACGGGTGGCATATCTGGTTTAATATATGGCTTCCGGGTCGAAGGTCAATTGCGACTTGTACATAAAAGTTGATCCCCGGAACGCCCATGCGCTCTCGCGTGCACGCTAACCTGGCGCTAATCGCGCTGCGCTTCGGGGTGATTAGCAGCGTCGCTAATCTGGTGCAGGTGCTCATCAATCCACGTCCCTGCTGCCCCTCGGTGCGATGACCTCAATTGCCGCCTTTTGGCTCGGTTACTCATGGGCTATCGTCATTTCTTACATTGATAAAGTAGGGCTGATCTAATCATAGATTTCGCCTCCCATGATTCGCCGGGAGGGCGAAAACATCACGATGCAGGCATTATCTCGAACGCATGCATTAGACACTTTCGCAATTTAATCTCTCTTTCTCTTTTTTTTTCCATTTCACTGTCTTGTAATTATTTTTCAGACTTAATCTTTTGTACTTTATATGTATTTCATCCTAATATAATCTTATCTTAGAGCAACGATTTGGAGCATAAACGTGTGATGTAATATATCAATATAAAAGGTGTTGTCGCTTTGGCGCAACAACTTCCCTTCTATCCGTGTCAACGGTATACAGTGATATACGCGCGCCAAATAACAGCACTAATTTCATTAGCGAGTTTACAGCTGCCACTCGAAATCGAGTGTGATCCCCGCGAGTCGCGTAAATTCGCACTTTATCTCTTGTCTTCAGCAGTCATTCGGTCGGCGCGCGGTCTGTTATTAAAACTCACACTCGCGCGAGATAGAGTCCCGCATTAGCACACACGCGCGAGCGGTGTCACTTCGTCCACAGGTACAGACATGTCAGCATTTAACAACCGTGGCAACCAGTTACAACCAAAAACACAATCAGCCGGTGCTTGCTTAGCCTGGTAAAGCGCTGCTTTAATTTAGCTGTTTGCTGTTGCAATTAAGCCGCGGTTTCACGGCAATTACGCTCTCGGTCGCGTCGCCCGCGTGACGCTGATAAAGTCGCGATCTGGTGCATGCGTGTATACCAGCGGATCGGCGACGGCCGGGATGCGCATCGCTGATCCGGGGATCAGTCGCGATCGCGGATGATGGAAGATGAATAATCGTATCATATCGGGGATGGAAGGTGAGTGCGTCGCAGGAGATAGCCGTTGCGGTGGCCGGACGATCCGTTTATGGGCGACTACAATGCGTATCCAGGCCGCGCGCGTGTACGGAATTATTATCAGCATTATGCTCGGGGATCACGATATGAACAACGCGTCGCGTCACGCTGTAATCATGAAAGCCGTGCGCGACATAATGCGATAAATGCATTCTTCAGGTTAAACACCGACGGCTACTTTATCGTTTACTTGTTCCACTACGAGGTATTTATTTTTTAAACTGGAATGATTTCGATTATTTTTTTAGATTGACACCCACTGCTTTTTTTTACGCAGTTTATATTTAATTCAAGTAAACAATTTTTGTTTAAATTCTTTGAAATATATTTTATTTTATTAATAATAAAAAAATAGATATATTAAAATTCTATTATTGATCATATATAATAATTTCAAAGATTCCTCTATTTTATTTGCTTGCCAGTATAATCATATTAGGTCCTTGAATAAGTTCTCGCTGTTTCTTAAAAGATGGCGTAGCGGCACTCTGTGCATGGAATTTCGTACGGAAACGCATCAGCTAAGTAGTACTATATGTAACCTCAAATTCTAGTAGATACAGTTTACCACAGTGTCAACCACGTGTTTAATTACCTATTGCGAAAATGTCTACTTTTGTGCCAAATAAAGTGTTTTTGCGGGGAATTTTATTGCACTGCTTTATTCAAAAGAAATCTGCAGCTGAAGCACACAGAATTCTTGTTGAAACATATGGTGACAATGCTCTGTCGAATACGACATGCAGAGACTGGTTTAGGCGCTTTAAAAATAATGACTTTGACCTTGAAGATAAAGAACGTTCTGGAGCACCGACAAAGTTTGAAGACGAAGAATTGGAGGCATTGCTTGATCTAGATCCATGTCAGACGCTAGTAGAGCTCGGGAAAACATTGCAAGTAGATGCGTCAACAGTTTCAAAACGTTTAAAAGCGTTAGGAATGATCCAAAAGCAAGGACATTGGGTGCCGTATGAGTTGAAGCCGAGAGACGTTGAACGACGTTTTCTCATGTGTGAATTGCTGCTTCAACGGCATAAAAGAAAAGGTTTTCTGCACCGTATCATCACTGGAGATGAAAAGTGGATACACTACGATAATCCTAAGCGTAGAAAATCGTGGGGTAAGCCCGGCCATGCATCAACATCGTCGGCAAAGCCGAATATCCATGGTTCGAAACTTCTGCTCTGCATTTGGTGGGATCAGCAGGGCGTAATTTATTATGAGCTGCTTAAACCTAATGAAACTATCCCGGGAGCTCGCTATCGACTTCAGATGATGCGTTTGAGTCGAGCTCTAAAAGAAAAGCGGCCACTATACGGGCAGAGACACGACAAAGTCATTTTGTTACATGACAATGCTCGGCCACATGTGGCAAAACCAGTCAAAACTTACCTGGAAACGCTTCAATGGGAAGTTCTACCTCACCCGCCGTATTCACCGGACATAGCCCCCTCGGATTACCACTTGTTTCGGTCGATGGCGCATGGTTTGAGCGAGCAGCGCTTCCATTCTTTCGAAGAAATCGAAAAATGGGTCGATTCATGGATTGCGTCAAAAGATGAATCGTTTTTTCGACGGGGGATTCAATTACTGCCAGAAAGATGGGAGAAAGTGGTCTCTAATGATGGACAATACTTTGAGTAAAGTTATTGTAAGCCTTATATTTTAAATTAATGTTTTTTTTTAACAAAAAAAACAGCGAGAACTTATTCAAGGTCCTAATATATATTTGAAATATGATTGTTTTTAAAGCAAAATATCTTGTTAAATACATACGTTTGGCAATTTTATTGCCAAAATGTCAGCAACAAGAAAGAGACGGTAGGTACTCGCAAAGTGCTTGCGGTCAAATCCCAACTCTATTCTACTGCGCCGAAATTAACAATTGTTGCAAAAATTAACATATGATATGTAAAACAAAGCGTTGCGCGCTTTAGATAACATGTAACACACTTGTATCATACTCCGAACAGCACGGTGCAACGCACTCTCTGATTTGAGAGTTTCAGGCAGAATGGAACGCGGGTCGTGCATGGCTAACGATGCTTGATGATGCATGTGTGCCGGTGAATGCTTGCTTCTCGTTATCCCGTATACCCACTATCCCCTAATTATACTTGTAAAGCACTTCAAAACACTATATTGTCGACCCGACGGTTCTGACAGCCGCCGTCCCAATTCATAGTCTCCGCCGCGCTCGTGCTTGCTATATTAAATCAATGATAATTATCACGAATATATGCAGAATTCTAACGAGTTCCAGCCTTTGTTTATTCATCCCCCGCGTCTTCCGCGTTTTCTCAAAAATTTCCATCAACTCTCGCGACTTACGATTGGTACGAATTCGCAATATTTGCCAATTGATTGATACCGAATTGTAATCGCGGAAATAAAGTTCCAGTTCGCCTTTACGCGGGCGACACGCGCGGCTTGCCGGCATCCGCTGTCAATTCCAGGTGGCTGGAATTGCACAGACGGTTCGGTCGGATATTAGCGCAATTTCAAGGATCACTAGACCGCGGGATTTATCGATGATCGCGCGCGTGCGCGCGCGTCTCATTATGGAACGCGGATCGCTTTGACGCGCCTCGGACGCGCGCGCGTTTGACTTCGCCGGCGAAACCGGCGCATCGCCCGCAGTGAATAACTGTTAGCTGCACTCTCTCGCGCTCTCGATCGTGCGAGGACAAGTTATTTTACAAGCGGCGCATGTAATCGATCGGCCCGTCCTGTTACCGCGAGAATTCGCATCTGTCCGCAGTCGCCACGCTACGATAATACTCTCGCGGGAACGCGTCACGCTTATTTTCATGTCCCACAAATACAATGCGACGGATTAAAAGCGGATCGAAACAGTTTTTACGTTTTTGCATTCCTGCGGTTTATCGCTTCCCAGATACCAGCGATTGTGAATATTGTTGTTTTCGCGAGAGAGCCAGAGAGATTGCAACAATACGGGCGCGAACGTTTTGTAAAATATATATGGAGAGAAATTTATGCATATTTAATGCATGTTTTATTCATCCGGTTGAATTTTTACGCTTGTAAAAATAAAATATTCGCGTACATCAATTTTATTAAAAACGATCTTTTTACCTCCGGTTGGTCCTTTTTGCAAATTCGTTTTTTTTTCTCCGTAATGGCGTCTGTCAAAATCATTGGTGATAGGCAAGCCTGTAATGTCAGAATCTTGGTCGTATTAATCGGGATCGTTTGTCGCAGTACTGGATGCTCAGCAAGACGGGTGAAATCCGTCGAGACGAGTCGTGCCTGGACTACAGTGGCAGCGACGTCATCCTGTATCCTTGCCACGGCAGTAAAGGCAACCAGCAATGGATCTACAATCCTCAGGTAATGGATTGTCTTCAACGTTCCCTCAATGGATCGTTTATAATAATATATTGCGAACAAATCTTGAATAGAGATTAAAAATTCATTGAAAAATAATGCTAAAGATTACGCTAGTAAAACTATTTTCTCGAAATTGACGCTTTAAATTAGTTAATAATTCAATCAAACGCAATTCGATGCTTCGTTTAAACTGTTCTTCGAAGGAAAATTTATTTGCTATTATGTTTCTATTTCCAGACTAATCATATCAGGCACGGCAGCAGCGACAAGTGTCTGGCAATCACGGAGAGCAAGCAGCAACTGGTGATGGAGGAATGCTCATCCAATGCGCCGAGGCAGAGATGGTCCTTCGAGAATTACGACCCGTCGAAGCTGTGATACCGCGCCCACTCGCGCCGTCATTCGCACAATCTCGGTCACGGTCCCGAGCGCGCCGGATCCTGGCTGCCAGGGAAACGTTACTCGATCGCTAAGACCCGCTTTGGCAGATAAATCCCAAATTGTCAAGGAAATTCCTGCGAAATCGCTCGAGACCACTCGAATCGAGACGAACTCCTAGACGAACTCGTCGAGAAACGAGGCAAGACGGTCTCTTTATCGGCGAGATCGAAATGTGGAAAATAACGAGGTAGATCGCGATGCAACGAAACTTTCGCGAGGACAATATTAGGGAATTTTGTACTCGAGAAGTCGCATTTAATTAGCATAATTTCCGAGCGTCGCGTGGCGCTCCAAACGATTACGTCTTGACTTTTATGTTGTAGTTCTAAGTATTAAGAATATTGCGAGGGATTGGCCCGAACGGGATCGTGGACGAACGTGATCGTATCGACCATCGAGTAGCTCTCGATCGTCACTTTCGTTCGCTGATCGTTGGCGCTTCCACGAGGATCAAGGAAGCGGAACGCTCGGTGCCATCGTGGGAACGGACGCGTGCCGCGCGTCGATCCTTGCGAGCGAATCGTCGATTGTAGACGAGGGAAGTAGCGAAACATTTCCCTATTTCTCTCTATCGTGACGCCGGCAATTCTCAACTGCAAAATGTCTTCGATGAGCCTGAACATGTGCAATGATTATCCTTTAGGAAAGTCAAGTGTGCCAAATTTGAATTGTATCCCCGTAATAAAGTATTCCCATCCCCGTTCTAACCGACGGCGGGCTGACTGGTGTGTTTGAAGTAGCAAACACGCATCGCCGTCAAGGGAAAGCTTGTAGTTGCGTGTGCCGAATGATTTAAGGAGATCGTATTGAACGATATCTGCACAGTCGTATGTTGACTCTCGGAGTGCGAGTTCGGAAGAAACGCGAAAAGAATTATAACTTCCTTAATGCGAGTTGCGTTCCAACAACTGCGTTGCTCTCACGCAACGGCTTGCGCGTGTAATTAAAGATGGTTTATCTTCAAGTTGTCTCGAATCTCCGGTGAAAGTGTGCAAGCGATTTTTCTCCGCTGATAATCCGTTATCCATTTCATCGCGCAAAGACGTATACGACAGTTTCAACCGATCACTAAACATCCATTCCAAATGTCAAAGTCAAACGACGCAGTGCGGCACACCGCCAGTCGACGATTCGACCATTTCGCGATGGCATTCGTTGATCGCTCATAGTCTTTTTCTCGCCACTTCTTCGAAAGTGACTCTTGCATTCCAGATATACGCTGTGACGATGAAACGAAGACGGCGACGTAACATAAAAAAGAGAATGTATTTTTTTTTAGTTTCTAAGTTAGGTATTCGATAAATAGTTAGGGATGCGCAAGGAGAGAGTGACGAAACATTCCGAAGGCACATGGACGTTTGATTCTGATTGTACATTCGTGTAAGATACGATGTCTTGATGCCAGTTCAGGATATAAGTACCGCCTAAGTAGATTTAAGGGAGTGTTAAGTGAATGTGAGCATATGCGGGTTATTAATCCGCGGGATTGTTTTCACTTCCCGCGAACTGCCGCGAACGATTCGCAATCGCTAATCGGCGATTAGTTGGATATGTAAATCTGCTGACGAACACTTCACGAAAAGTACGCTTTTATAAGGCATGGGTCCTTTGTTATAATTTTAAACTACATATCATTGTGCGAATATGATTGAGAATCGTGAACAGATAATAGTCTACGTATAGGCTATAAAATAGAGATTAAAATTTAAAATCATTAATTAGTCTTTACCTGTTAGTCACACGTTCAAAAATTTACAAAATGTTTTTCTTAAAAAAGTCTAATTTAAAACTACGAATGCGTAGTTTAATCATTTTTATCCACGTGCTTCTTTTCAGATGTTCACGTTTAAGACGCGATTCGTGAAAATAATTTTTGCGTGCCAACAAAATCGTAAATATCACTGCGTACGCAAAAACGTGTAAAATTATCAATGATTGTTATTTTTTATAAAGATACTCATCCGTAATGCCATAATTCTACGAGTTTCATCATGTGATGCAATTTTATACATATCTTTTTGTCCTCCGTTAAATTTTATAAAAAGATACATTTAATACTCCGAAAAAAAATGTAGCGAAGAAAATTTGAATTACGTACAGATCTTTTTTGAAAAAGAAGTTTTGAAAATGCGTACCACACAAAATATATGTGCTCTATGAAAATTAACCGAATAAGATGTTTAGAAGTCGCAACGAATAATAAGAAATTACGATGGCACTTTTCGTGGACGAAAAACGAATCGCGTATGGATTTGCGATTTCTCGTGTAAATTAATCGAGAGTATGTTACAACGTACGTTTAATTGCATAAAGGACTCCGCAAGAATAAGGGAGAGAAACAGCGAGCTAGCGCCAGCCCGTGTACGAGTGTGTGCTTAATTAGATACGATTAATTAGCAATTCTCATCTTAGGACTAATTAAGTTTTTCAAAGCCGCAACTTTGCCAATGCGAGACGGCGAGACACATGTCGAATAGCTTTAGGGAGTGTGATTTGTGAGTTGCGGATAATCTCACGCGAGGGAAATCCGCCTCGGTCCCGGCCGGCGTGAATGAATAGCGCACGCGAGTGCGGATCGACGCGGACGTTTATACAGATTATATATATGACATTTTCTACATTTGGTAAGGGATGTTGCATATCGTAAGGGAGAGAGAGAGACGGTTGATAGTAATAATAAACGTGAGCAACGCCGGAACAACGCATGTTCCCTGCGCACGGCGCTCGTCGCGCGTTTAATTAATGTAATATCGAACGTGCCTTATTTCGTGTATATATGAATATTATGATCATTATTATCATTACTACGAACCTCTATCATAACGTGCAAGTATTTGTGTTGAATAAATCGATGTTGTTTTATGTTATCAATATAGTTTTCAAAGCAACCCCGCCTACCGACCTTTCCTTTCATACTTTAACAATGTCCTAAATTAAATTCATTTATGACATTCCTCTGCAAAAATATTGGGAAATATCTGACGCGTATCTATGCGCACGACAAAACGCCTCTGTGCTCGTAGACACGAATATATGAAGCATCATATTTTTGAGAGACAGCGTATAAATAGGACGTAGTAACGGGGCCTAGGACGTTGCGTGGAAATGGAACGCGACACACTTTCAGTTAGCCCTGACCCAATTTTGGCCACCCACACGGGTTCCACTGTTTCGAGGAACAAGGTAAGCGCGACAGTTCCGCCAAGGATCAATAACGACGCTAGAAAAATCTCATCGCGGAATCGCAGGACGAGACGCCCCGAGCCGCCCCGGCGATTTCACGATTGGGGTGGGAATGGGAGTGATCGCAAATCTTTACGTTCCAAAAATATATCTGACATGGAAAAGCCCTCCTTGCTTATGAGGTTCCCGCTCGTAATAACCAACTGCTCCTCTCTATCGAACTGTTTGCCAATTATCGAGGGGCCGCTACGCAAACGAGAATGAAATCGCTCGTTATTCTCGCGCAGGCGTCCTTGGCCCCGCAAAAGGTGCACTTCGCTGTCCGAGAGACTCCACTCGGATAAAAGGGGCTGAAAAAGTCTGCAAGGGGTGCTTCGGCGCAATTTGAAGCTTAGATATTTTGAACTACGTTCACCATTAGAAATGTTTTAGTTTTTGTTTGTAAATTTTAATTTATTTATGAAGAAAAATGAAACAATAAGAATTTTAATGGATTTTCATGATAAACTGTTCCTTTAGAAAAGAATCTTGATATATTTTTAATTTCTTACTAGCGCATAATAAAAAAATAAAATGCAAAGCTTTTATTTGGAATTGCAATAGTGAATTTGTAATCATATTGACGCGATAAATTTTCAAACAGTTGTTGCACAAAACGCTTGCACATGATTGAATCGTTGAAATTAATGTAACAAACTTTATAATAAATTCAGATTCTGATTTGTTACATAGTAATTATTGTCCAGCAATTTGATTCATTTATTTAATATTATTCAAATTGCAACCAATATTTCTATTATAATCCAATTATATTTTTTATTTCTATATTTTTTCATGCAATATTATTAAATTTACTTGAAAATGTTTATAAATAGCTACACATGTATTGCAATCAAATTTAACTGTGCTTTTTTGCGTCTCCTGCCACGTTGCAACTTGTTGCCGTGTCGAGTAATATTGATTAGAAGAGAAAGATAGCAAAGTCTTACAAAAGAAAGAGACGAAAGTTTTTCCATTATATAAATGATTCCAGCTTAAAGTCAGATTTCGTGCTTGATTAGATTCACTTTTGTTGTTCGTGTTATACGGCTTGCCAAAAGTAATATCAAAGATTACTATCGATATTCAGAAAATATTAATATCTAAATAACAGATATTCGAGAAATATTCTTTGAACAAAATAAAATAAAAAAATAAAATAAAAAAATAAAATAAAATAATATATTTCTTTCTAAAATATTCATGGATTTATATATATATATATATAATATTATATGAATATTATATAAGTATTATATAATTATAAAATATTATATAATTATTATATAACATTCAATATTATATAAAAAATTATTCAATTTGAATGCACTATGCGAATTTTTATCGTTCAGAAAAGTTTAAAACAGTATTCAAAAATGTAAAATAAAAGTTACATATATCTGTATGTATTAAATCATCTAAATATGAATTACATAATATTACACAAGAGATATATAATCAAACCATACATTTTACAAGCAAGCAAGATTCGCAATTTAAAATAAAAATTCTTAAAAACTCTACATAATTTATTAGCACAGATCATTTAATTTCTAATTTAAATGTACTTTTTATTTCAGTTGCTAATACTCAAAAGCAAGGATGCCACAGTCTTGTCATAAGATTTTGAACCGAACTGTATCAGGCGATATCTGTGATCAAGGATATCTATTTCGCTTGAAAACATTCTATTCGGTAGGGGAAAGGTTCTCCGGGTCGAGCCGGCGTAGAAGCGAGGCGACGTCGACGTCCCCGCATGACGCAGGCGCCGCGACGCCTCTCCGACGCTTCATCGACGGGAAGCTCTGCGTCCATCCAGCTCTTTGCTCGCCCAGAGACTTCGCCCTGTGCTTTCTCCGGCTGTATATTCATTCACGAATCCAACCTCCGTCGCGTCCAGATCCTTCGAGTCTTCGCAGCCGAGGCGGCAGTCAGGATCGACATTCGCGTTCGTTGCTCTCTGCCGTAAAAACACTCTTCGTCTCTTCCGCAAGCAAGGGGCGGTGTACACGGACAGGGTTTATTCCTTGCGCTGGAAACTCCGCGATCAATTCCGCTACGTCGATTGCATCGCAAGCTCGATACGACAGACCTCTAGGTACTTGCACGGCCGGCAATTGAACGAATTCAGTTGCAATTTTTTATTAATTTCCGCTTCAGATGTTATCTCGATGTTGTTAAGGAATTGCTTTCCCTAAACTTTGTGTTTTCATTTGTGAAAATTATATTTTTTCACAATTCTACTCGCTGATTTGTCATACAATATTGCTGTGCGCGCTTAATTGATATTGCATTTATTAATAAGAAAAAATATGTTTAATGTTTGTAAAAATTTAATTCTACACGATTCGTCTTTCTTTGTCTACGTATTTCACAATCTTTACGTTAATAACTAATTTCTTATTATTCTCTTGCGTATTCAATTCAGCTGACGACCGACTAATTTTTTCGACGATATTCGAGAAGTGAGTCAAAAGTGTTTTTTCGGGGTAGAAGCAGCCCGGCAAGCGAAGAGGCTCCGGGACCAAAGCAACAGGTAATACATCGTTTCATGTCTCTCTTTCTATTTATTTTTCTTTACATACTTTTTACTGTCCTCTGTTTTTTCCTCTTTTCTTGCAATCTTTTACGCATAATTATTTAGAGAATTTACTTGTAATAAAGCAATTAAGCGAAATAGTGATAATTGTAGAACGCAAGAAAAATAAATTAAATATTTTAACGTTTTCTACTTATATTTTTAGCAATTATCGCAAGCTTTATTTAAACAAAATCTCGTAAAGTATCGAAAAGAACAAATTATTTATCTTAATAAAGAAGAATTGATTCCGATATTTTTTCCATACAGCAAACTGTTTCTGACCATATTGTTTTAAACAGATGTGTGACTGACAGATAACAGATTAATTTTCAGATTCAATATTTGATAATGGAAATAAAATTAAAAAAAAAAAAATAACGATGTAACGTAGGATACCAATAATGTTTCGTCGATACATTCCTTACAAATGTGCATTATTTGTCTTAATTGAAAAATGAGCAGGGATAGGCGACAGCAAACACAAAACATTATTGAGACGATTAAAAAATTGGAAGGCTTGCGTTGACAACTGAGAAATCTTTGTCATATTTCTTTAAACTTGATAACACATTTTTTTAGCAAATATTTTCTGTCACTGTATCGTGTGTGCAAATAGGAATCGTGTTTAACAAGGGATCGTTCTTTCATAAAAAGACGCTTTGCCGATAAGCTTGCAGATTTTTTCTTCTGGATAAAAGCGCTTACACTTTACAGCGTAAACAAAATTTCTAATATGAGAGTTTATCTCGGGTTGTTGATACCGCACGCATCCAGCTGTGCATCTTGAAGAGAAAAGCCATAAAGATATTGGAATTGTTATATTACAATAAATACTTCAAAGCAAATTAAGCAACGGAAAGATTACTTTTTAAATAATAGTTTATGGATGAAAGCGTTTTTTATGCAATCCCCTTACGTGTATTAAAAGGCCATGATATTTTTATCGAAGCCTGCGCACTACTTGAGTACGTAATAATTATTGAACTCATTTTTGCTTATAAACGCTATTGTTTTATGCGGCGAGTTAATAAATGTAAATAATAATGCATACGCTAAGACTTATTTTAGTGAGAATAAATCTCACATTTGATATAAGTAGCGTAATTGCGGCATTCGATAATTAAATCTAATAAGATTTAAAGATATAAAATAAGTGGGAAAATGCCAAAAATTTAATCTGTATTTATTCTACGTAAAATGAAACGCAGGAAGACATGGGCCCAATGCCGGAGGCTTCAGGATCAGGAATGGCCGACGAGTCGGATTACTCGACGTTTGAGAATAAAACCGGCCTTGCCGAGGACATGAAGTTCTTGGCGAGCATGCCGGAGCTCTGCGACGTGACTTTCCTCGTCGGCGACACCAGGGAGCCCGTTTGTGCCGTGAAAGCTGTGCTTGCGGCCAGAAGCAGGTACGTAGAAAACACCCTTGAACAATAACATGGAATAACGATAGAATTTTTTTTCTTTCGCACATTACAGAGTCTTCCACAAAATGTTATATCAAACACCGAGCCCGCAGCGCAAAAAAGAACCGCCACAACGAGAAAATAAGATCCGGCTTTTCCTCAAACGCAGCTCCGAGCCGTTGCTAAATTTGCAAAATGCGGCGCAGCAAGTATGTATAACATAAAAGTTAATAATATGTCAAACTCACACGATCATTCTCATACTGACTGATGAAGAAAATAAATGTGGCGCACAAGCTTTGACAGTGCAATAATTACAATATAACAAATTACATAACGCAAAGAAAAAATAGCAGGCTTACCTTTGATTTCACTTGAATATTTTTTGACGATTTATTCACAATTGATATGTGTATATATAAAATGCAATGCAAAGCAAAAGAAAAATAGTTGTGTTGTAAATAACACATGCATATGGACAATTTCTCAGACATAAGAGACAGGCACGTTCAATGTACAATGTGTTCTATTAATTTCATTTTTTTTTATCTACTCTAATTTAAGAAAGATTTATTAGAACTGTATTTTGTTAGCTTATTAATTAATATAATAAAACAAAATTAATATATATAATATATAAATTAGTTACAATTAGTCGAAATTGAAGACAATTTTGATGAAATTTTCTCCGCTTTTTCTGGGACACTTTGCATATTTATCGTGGCTGTCATCGAAACGAATCACCCGCTTTTACCAGGCTAGAAATAGTAAGTGTACATTTATATGTGTCGTGTAGCGGTCAGGGTTCACGCAGCAACTGGCCCCCATCCAAGAGGTACTTTGAACGTCACTTTTACGTACAGATATACAAGTCGAGATTGTTTCTATCCTATTTTCCCGTTCTTCCCTGCGCCTTTAATCCGCGACATCGATTTCTCTCTATCTCTCTGTCTTTCTTCCCCACTGCGATCTTCTGCTCACTGCACTTTGATCACGATTCTGATTCCGCGAAACTTGGTAATCTCGTTGGATCTTCTTAAAAGTAATTTCGAAGAAGTTCTCTGTAGGAGACCACTTGAGATTTGTACACTGACAAGTCGATGTTCCCTGCCTTGACTTGTCACTTAATCTAATGGCTTTTTAATCTCGATTAGCCTTTTCCGCGTTTCAGAAGATTCAAGATTCGTGCTCAAACATTTAGTAGAGTTTATACGATTATGATTGGATTGTGCATCAATTCCGTATTTGAACTTCTGCATGATCGATTGAATTGTGTTCTAGTAGTCACATCCACCGTAGTTGTAGATTGGCACGGTTACGGTATTCAGTATTCTAGCTCGTGTCGGCTTACGGTAAATTACTTTCATAAATCAACCGAGCGAATGTAATTATTATTGATGCAACTATTATTCATATTACCATATAAATCTTGAAATAAATTATGTAACGTAATTTTCAGCTGGACGCAGAGAAAACATAAGCTTATTTGAAAATTACCGAAAAAAAATGTAAAGCGTGGAATATGTGTTCGCTGGGTTATTATTATTATTTCAAATATTATTAGAGAAAAAAAAATATATATATATATTTATATATTTATCACCCTAATGATGTTAAACGCACAGTAGTTTGGCGCCAAAATCTATATTTTGCACCCCACAAAAAATCTTACTAAAGTATATCTATACCTAACGTCCGACTTTCTCCACCCTGTAATTAGTGAATTTGATTTATGCGCCAATCCTTACGGGCTCCCATGCAAGTCGCTTAGCACGGGTATTCCATTTGAGCTTCAATCTGAATATCCTTGTTTTTCTATTTAGATATTTGCATTTCACTTTTATATCGCAGCCGCAATCGAATCAGCATCACACGCTGATTATCGAGGAGTTCGAGCCCGACGTCTTCCGGCAGCTGATCGAGTATATTCATACAGGATGTGTGACATTGCAGCCCAGGACATTGCTTGGTAATCAGTTCATTATATAATAAAGCCCAACAAGCCAATTAGAACATTCATTATCTACCGAGTCGAATTAATCATTACTGACAACCATTTCCTGCTCTTATATCTTATCCGACGCTCGCGATCTAAACGTGTCAAAGATAATTTTATAAATTGAAACAGATACGTCGAGTGTTGTATTTTTAAATCGAATCGATGATTCGTAAATTTCGTTGCTCGATAATAACTTGTATCCGCAGGTGTGATGAATGCCGCCGATTATTACGGATTGGACGAGCTTAGACGTGCTTGCGCCGGCTTTGTTCAATGCTGTATTACTGTTGACACGGTCTGCGCTTTGTTGGCATCAGCGGAGCGTTACATTCAATATAAATGCACCAAGTCTTTGGTTCAAAAGGTACTTGCGTACAATCGCAAATATGTTTCTCGATGTTTAACGACCGTAATAATTATTCAGCAATATATCAGTTGTAAGAGTGATAGAATCTCGCAATATGATGTAACAAAATGCAAGCATGCAAAATCGTGAGAATATTTCTATTCCTATTTTATTATTGCGAAGGTACTGGAATTCGTCGATGAACATGGCAATGAGGTATTGAACTTGGGATCCTTCACATTACTGCCGCAACACGTCGTCCGGCTGATCCTCGCCAGAGAAGAATTACGCGCGGATGAATTTACGAAATTCCAAGTAATTCTTTAGAAATATATTAATGAGATTTACTCGCATCTCCTTTTGCGCAACAGTTGAGCGAACTAACTTTTCATCTTCAGGCCGCGCTGATGTGGAGCAAGAAGTATTGCGACAACAATCAAACGCCGCTGAAAGAAGTGATAGGGAATTTCATCGAGTACATCCAGTTTCACAAAATTCCAGCCACTGTACTGATGCAGGAGGTGAATCCGTTGGGTCTGGTGCCGCCGGAGATCATCATGAACGCATTGGCCTATCAGGTGCGCGTTGCTTTTCCCTATAATCCATTTTAGAGCTATAAAAAAATACTTTTAACAAATCTATCTTACTTATGAAAATTCTCGCTGTAATTCTACAGAACGACGCGATCAGACTCTTTATGAGAGTCTCTGTTGCAGGCAGACCCAACCAGTGTCGACCCCAGGAAACTCTCCCCCCACAGAGTGAGGCGGCAGGGTCGCAGCATGTCGGTCCAGTCGTCGCTGGATCCGTACGGCAGCAACACGACCTTGAGCTCGAGCGGCTCCGACGCCGGATCGGATCAGAAACAGCATTCTGGTAGCAACTAACCTCAGGCCACGGCCGCACCGACCGCGGCCGTTTCGGACGAGCCTCGACGAACCGAGGATACCTGCGGGCCCGACGATGGAGCGGCGCCTGCGGACGATGTTATTGCACGATTGGAGCAGATAGAGCGGCAGCAACCGCAGCAACGACAGGAGCAACAGCAGCAGACGCAGGAGCAACAGCAGCCGCAACAGCAGCAGACGCAGGAGCTTCAGGTTCAGGTGCACGCGGAACAAGAGCCGCAGCCGCCGCAGCGTCAGGAGGAACAGAAGCGGGAGGAGGTGCAGCAGGCGAAAAAAGAACCGGGTCACCTGCAGCAGCAAGTACGTCAGAAGATAGAGAAGGATCGCGAACAACGGAAGATCCAGCAGGAGCAGCAGCAGTTGCAGCGTAAATTCGAACTGGAGGAGCAGCAGCTGCGGCGCAAATTGGAGCAGGACGAACAGCAGCTGCGACGCAAGCTGGAACGAGAAGAGCTAGCGTTGCAGCAAAAGTTGGAGCACGAGGAGCAGCAGTTGCAGCGAAAGCTAAACCAGGAGGAACGGAAGAAACTAGATAAAGGCAAAGAGCAACAGCCGCAACCGTCGAAAGACGACAAGAAGCCGAGGGATGAACAGCCGCTGCAAGCGGGCGAGCAAGCGGAGACGCGTCGAGAGCCGCTCATGGAGCAAATGAAACAGCGGAAAATAGAGACGCCAGCGCAACGGAAAGAGGACGAGAAAGAGCAGCGACGGAAAGACGAGTCGCAGCAGCCTGGAGAATCGCAACAGCACCAGCAGCAGGAGCAGCCGGGACCTCGGCCGCTCGAGGCAGTGAGCGGATTTTACATCAGAATAGTGCTGAGACACGAAAGCCGCGCGAATTTGGTCTGGTTGTACAAAACGCACATATTCTAAATCCGGGATCGATCCGTCACGTCGCTCCCGTCTGGATGTTCAAGCGAAATCTTCGCGGCTACCACGGCTCTACGACTCATCCATCCATGTTGAAAGATAGCGAATTGATACGCGCTAATTTTTTTTTTTTTTCGAGAAACGCGCGATGCGTTTGCCACTCGGGACACGTCCGCATCTCTCGTGTGCCCGACAATTTTACTTTTATGTCTTGAAAAAAGCGTTGGCGTCTCCTTCCGACGTCACCGATGTCGACGAAAGGAGGTGCGTGTAATGAAAACGTGTAATCAGTTTCTTCTCGACTACTACTTCGCGCGCGGGCGAAGGTTTAACGGTGTATCCGGCGTCGCCGTCTCGGCCGTCTCGAGACGCGCGCACATCAGCCGTTTCTAGATGTAATAAATCAGGGGAATCCGTTAGGCTCTCGATTGTCCACGGTCGCGGAGCGAGACAATCGCGGGTCGCGTTATTGTTGCGAGAGAAAATATGTATCTGTTAAACGTAAAATGTGCAAAAAAAGATGTGCATGTAGACGAAAAAAAAAAAAAAACGACATCCGTCGCTTCGTACACTACGCTTTCTCTATCGCCGACAGGCGATAGTATCTATCGCTCGATAGTATCGTTCAAATCAATCAAATGCACCACTGCAGGCAGATAATTAATTTCGATTAATCAAAAGTGTCTTTACACTTTTGACATGCTCTATTACATATCATAGCTTTTATCGTTTGCACTTTTGTGATCATTTATATATCTTTATATCGTGCAATTACTATTTCTCTAATTAGTCTCTAATTAGTCTCTAATTTGTTACAAGATACACTTAGCGTCGCTCACATACTGTACTTCATTATTCTTACGAAAACGATTTCGATAACTAACTTTCAACTATTTTGTCTAACTTGTCACTGAAGCTACATTTACATTTCATTAATTTTATTATTTATTCGACAAAACCGCATTATTGGCGAAT